GTGGGTAAGCCCTGCCTGTTGGAATGCAGCAGCTCTTCCTAGTAACCATGGGAACCTTATTGGCATGGCAACCTGGCAGCTTCCGTGAAAGGCAGCAGTGGGGGAAAGGATGGAAGTGGAGGGAGGCAGTTCTGTAGAAAAAGGGAGGGGTGAGCAGCCTTCCCTCCGGCTGAGGAGAGAAAAAAAAAAAAAAAAAAAAGAGGAGGAAAAGATGTCCCGCTCTTTGGATGGTCCTAAGAAGCCCTTGAGGAGTTTGGGCCTCACCCCCAAATCCAGTTCAGGAGGGGACTGGGGCAGGCCTATCAGCCAAACCGGGTACCAAGACGTAGACCTATTGGTGCCTTTGTGTTCTACCATGTGGCTCAGCAGGAACAGGGGCTGGGAGACACATCGCACCGCACCTGAGCAAATCCTGGTGTTAAGTTTTGATTGCCGGCAAAACAGCACACGGAGCTTTTGTTGGGCTCTGAGAATCCAAGCACCTTTCGTTGAAGACGCGTAGGGATGAGGGCATTTTCAAGCAGCAGCTAAAGCAAGAAAGGAACCTGTGCAGCAAGGCTCAGGAAGGCTGAGAATGTAGTCAACACAGAAACAAACGCGGTCCACTAGGGAGAAAGGACTGGGCTTACTCAGAATCCTTGCCGTCACTCGTTTCTCTGTGGACAGGGTGTGAACCGGGGCTATTCTGGGCTTTGGAATCAGATCGCCCTGAGTTGGAACCCTGGCCTCCACCTCAGCGACTCTGTCTCCAAATCCATTTCCTTTCCCTCAAGACAGAGGGTAATAATAGCTACTCTAGAGAAGCACTGTGAACATCAAAGGAGATGTTTAAAGGCTTAGTCAACAGTAATATTAGTTAACGTTCTGTGCACCCGCCTTGGCTGGCCTGGCGCCAGTGCGTGCCATAGCGTGGTTGTCCGGAAGGTCGTCCGGAAGGTCGTCCAGACGGTCATTCTGCTGTTCGGTCGTTTGGTTGATTTGCATATTAGCTTTTATTATTATAGATGCTTCAGGATCCATCAGTGATTTTGGGGTCAATTTAAACAAATATGTGATTGGTTTGTGGAAGAAAATGTAGAGTGTAATTCCATTAAATTTAAGAGCAGGGAAGGATTTTATTTGAAGCCCTTTATAGTTTAGAATTCAGTGGTTCTCAACCTTCTGGCCCTTTAAATACAGTTCCTCATGTTGTGACCCAACCATAAAATTATTTTCGTTGCTACTTCATAACTGTCATGTTGCTTCTGTTATGAATCGTCATGTAAATATCTGATATGCAGGATGGTCTTAGGCGACCCCCGTGAAAGGGTGGTTCGACCGCCAAAGGGGTCGCGATCCACAGGTTGAGAACCGCTGGTTTAGATGACGAAATTGAAGTTCAGAAAAACTAAGCAATTTTCTCTAAGCCATGAAGCTGGCTAATGGGGAAGTAGACATTGAAATCCTAAACCCCTGACTCCCAGTCTACAGAGGTTTTTCCCATTTACGGACACCACGTGCCCTTCTCATCTCCTCCCTTCGATGTAGTTTCCTGTCCTTCAGTGTGGCCTCGATAATCAGACCAGCCATCATTGTTTTACAGTTCTGTAAGACACTAGCTGGGGATTCCTCCTAGATCTTGCAAATAATATAGAGCGTATTACTTAAAGTGAATAAAATATTTTTCTGTTCCAAACAAGGTTTACAAAAGGATTTAAGAATAGCTCCTATTTACTTCCTTTAGTTGTGAAGAGTTGCTATTATCAGACTTTGGGGTAACCTTTTCTAATAGGCAATGAGAAGCTTCCTTTGATTTATGCATTTGCATTTTGTTCATGCTCATCATTACACCCAATGAACAAATTCCTAAGCTGGGGGAAAAAATCTGTATTTATTTGGCTATGCAAATCTGCAGAATCATCAGGTTTTGAATGGTCATACATTGCCAAGCCTGTCAAAGCTTCTGGTTTTACACTTGTTCTGTATCTTACTGCTGTATGTGTTTCTCATCAATTTCCCACACATTCTAGGTGTTGGATCAATATCTAACAATGTGTTTTTCCTTTTATAGCTCTCCAAAACCCAGTCACCAAGCCAGTCCAGGCCAAGAATTTTGCAGACTAGCATTTGGTCTCTGTATTTTATTTATTTTTATTTTTATATATATTTTTATTGATTTCACAGAGGAAGGGAGAGGGAGAGAGAGATCGAATCATTGATTGGCTGCCTCTTGCGTGCCCCCTACATGGGATCGAGCCCACAGCCTGGGCATGTGCCCTTGACCAGAATCGAACCCAGGACCCTTTAGTCTGCACCCACTGATCTGTGCTGATAAACCACCAATAGCCATAGAAAAGAAGAATAACAGCTTTTTGGGGGGGGGGTGGGAGAAGGGGGGCACTGTAGATCTAAAAGCTTCCCCCACCCTGGGGGCCTCATTTTTCTTATTAAAATTTGTGGTCCTCCTTTGTTGAAATATTCAATTCTCTTCTCTTTTTTATAAAAATATTTTTATTTATTTCAGAGGAAGGGAGAGGGAGAGAGAGCTAGAAGCATCAATGATGAGAGAGATCCATCAATCAGCTGAATCAAGCCCGCAACCCGGGCATGTGCCCTGACCCGGAATCGAACCGTGACCTCCTGGCTTATAGGTTGATGGTTCAACCACTGAACCATGCCAGCTGGGTGCAGCCTGGCTCAATTCTCTTCTTTATAGAAAAAAAAAATTGTCATCACACTTACCCTTATGGGGTTTTCCAATATCTTGAGGGATCTTAATCTTTATTTGCCAACAAGTTCCTGTATTTTTGTCATTTTTACAGAGACGACTACCCTGGAATTCATTTCTATTCCTGGGGTTGATTTATTGTCAATTTTTACAATACTGTTATTTTTTTGTGAAAGCAATATTGTCTTGTCCTTAGTGCATGTGCTTTGTGGTAGGGAGCGATTACCCGCAGGCTAGATGGCTGTGAGTAGTTTTTGAATCATGGGGAATATCCCATTTCCCTTGTGAAAACAAATCGGGGATTTTAATCTACCCTGGAGATTGAGGATGGAGATGAATATAGGCTTGAATTGCATGTTGGTGTTTGAGAACTACCAGTGATGGGAACATCGTCTCAGAATGTCATCTTTATTGACTGGGCTGTGATTGACATAGGTTTTCAATAAAGATTCAGCAGCTCATTTCCAGAATGTCATGGAAAACAGGCTTCTTCAAGATGGAACCTTCCTGAGGTGAAGGCCTGGGGAGGGGGCGGAACTGGAGTCGAGAGGGCCAATGGAGGGGGGAGGAGGAAGTCTCTAATACTTCCATCAATAAAGATAAATTTAGAAAAAGATGGAGCCTCCTGAGAAAGATCAAATAGGATGAGTATGATACGTATCATGCTGCCACCAAATTTCTAATCACAGCAAGTCATTTCTAGTTTAAAAACCATTAAGCAAAACAAAACAAAGGACCCGACAGCCCAGTGAGGTCAAGTTTCCCATCACCAGAGGTGTCTCAGTAGGAACTGTGTGTAACGCTATATTGGTTTCTGAATCATGTGGGTGGTTGGACTAGATGATTGTTAAATGCTTCGTAGACTCCAAGAATCTTTGATTCTATTTAAGTAAATTAGGGACTAAAATAAGTTCAGCTCAGGAACTACAATAAGAGCCTAGAATGATAGCGGTGTGATTCCAGGAGCAATTATTTGCCCTGTATCCCCAACAACTAGCAGTTTGTACCCGTGACCCAGCCTTAGATTTTTCTTACTTGAAGGTGTGTGTGCCTTTGTACATACCCAGGCTTTTCTCTGTTGGTTTCCTCTGTATGAAATGAAGCCCTATCTTAGCAGAATGTTCACTTACCCCTTGAAGACCTAAGTCTAAGGTAGTGGTTCTCAACTGGGGTGATTTTGTAACCCCCCTCCCCTACCCCAGGGTTCACTTGATGAAGTCTGGAGATATTTTTGGTTGTTACAACTCAGGGAAGGGGGCAGTGCTAAGGCATCTAGTGGGCAGGGATGCTGCTAAACTTCACACAACACACGGGACAGTGCCCAACAATAACCACCCAGCCCCAAATATCACCAGTGCTGAGCTTGAGAAACCCTACTTTAAGTCAGCTGACCTTTGGGGCAAGAGTCCCGCTGTCTTCCTCATTATCACATAGCTGTCATAGAAATTTGTTGAAAACACTTTATATCTTCTCTAAACCATTTGTCATTTTTGTTGACCGGGAGTGTCACTGGTTTGGGAAAAAATTTTAAGCTCTAGAAACTCTATGTTTAAATATAAAATTCGACTTACTCTGATTAGAGAGGTGAGGAGGTGGGAATGGCTCACCTCTCAGCCCGAAGGAGGACTCCTGAAACTCCAACAACAGACAAGCAGCACTTATTGAGCACTTACTATATGCTAGATTCTGGATTGCACACAGGAGGTATGAATATATGTTGAATTATCTTATTTAATTCTTCTAAGGTTGTGTATTAATTTCATATAGATAGATAGGTAGGTAGGTAGGTAGGTAGGTAGGTAGATAGATTTCAGAGAGGAAGGGAGAGGGAGATAGAAACATCAGTGATGACAGTCATTTGATCCGCTGCCTCTTGTATGCCCTACACTGGGGATCGAACCCGCAACCAGGGCCTGTGCCCTGACCCAGAATCAAACCGAGCCAGGCTGTCTTAGTTCCTTAGACAACCAAGTTATGAAAGTCCAGGAGTCGTTGGAGTGTGTCTGCGGGCATCCGCCTGTCCATCCGCTCAGCCGCCTCCTCGCTTCTTTAGAGAATTACAGCGTCAGGGCCAGTGAGATTTCCAGGTGGGGAGTTAAGGCTTGCGCGCATCTTGGCGCTTCTGCATATTTCGTGGGGGAAGCAGAAAGGCCGGCGCTGCGGGGACGGGGGCACCTTCTCATAAATATTAATAAAGGCGCCACCTGCTCCAAGGAAGGCTCTGAATGCTAACAAGGAGATGACGCACGGGGCCGCGCTTGCCAGTGGGCGGGAGCCCGAGCGCGGGCGCGCCCCCGGAGCCGGGCACGAGCGCGGGGAGGGGCGAGGGCGGGTGGAGGGGAGCTCGCCGCAGCCTCCGCCGCCGCCGCCTGGCCGCCGCTGCCCCGCCGCTGCCCCGCCGCTGCCCGGCACTGCGCTCCGGCCGTTCTGTGGATGGAGGTGTCCCGCTGAGCCCGGGGACCGCCTCCCTCCGCCAGGACCCGCACAGGTGCAGTCGCGGGGGCGACCTTGGTCCGGACCGACCCACGCTATGGGTGGGGGTTGGACGGGGTGGTGAGGAGGCCCCGCGACCCGGGCTTCGGGGGCCCGCAGGTCGAGGGGAGCCGCAGCCCCGCACCCCCGACGCGTCCCATCCTGGACTCAGAAAGAAAAGCCCGGAGGTGGGCGCTCTCTGCTCTGCCCTTCGCGGGAGCGCAGCGGGGATACGGGGACGTGGGCAGTGCCGGCAGCATCCGAGCCTGGGCCCCCCGCCAGGCGTGTGTGTGTGTGTGTGTGTGTGTGTGTGTGTACGCATCCGCGCGTGTGACTGAGGGTGACAGTGCTGTGTGTGCGTGCGTGTAACCAGCGCGCGCTGTGTGTGTGTGTGTGTGTGTGTGCGCGCGCGCGCGCACGGGCGGGGGTGCATGTGTGTATGTATATGTGACAGTGTGTGTGTGTGTATGTGACAGTGTGTGTGTGTGTGTGTGTGTGTGTGTGTGTGTGTGTGTGTCTGTGCCTGAGCACGCGGTCTGGGGCCGGAGAGCAGGGGACTGCCCGGTGTTGTCACCCAGCAGCCACCGAGCAGCGGGTGGGTGCCTCCTTTCAAGACCGTTATCTGGCCCGTCACCTTAAAGCTCCAGTCATCTCTGCCCTTAGTAACCCGCGCCGCCCCCGCTGTGCCCTCCCTGGGGTGCCAGGCCTTCCCCAGGACCGGGCATTCCTGAGGGGTCAGCGCCCTGGCCACTGCCGCAGACGCTGGGGTGCAATTGTTGGGCCACAGAACAGGTCGGAGAAAGGACGAGTGTGGGCTCAGGGCCGGGCTCAGGGCCCCCAGCTGGGCCCAGCGCTGGACAGAGCCCAGGGTGGGGGTGATGATCACAGCCCCCTATTTGCTCTTGATAGCCCTTCCCTCCTTGCCGACCCCCTCCTTGCCTATTGACACCCCCAAATCCCCTCCCACTTCGGTGTCTCCATCATGTTTGGCCAAAAGGGCCAGTGGAATGTGTGCCGCGGCGGGATGAGCCCGGCTTTCTTGGAGTGCCAGCCATTGTGCTGCTTGGCGGAGCCTTTATTTGCCCTAACAGCCCAGGGGCGGAGGGCAGGGGGGGGATGAGAGATGAGGGTGAATGGAGCAGCAGGAGGAGGAAACAGGGGGAAGCAGAACCGCAAAGGCGTTGCTGGCTTATATGCAGTGAAGTACTCTTTCTGTCAAAACGTGAAGCTGGCACAATCATGTATTCTGATTGGGTTTTGCTGAGTAGCAGCAGGAAAACTGAAGGTGCATCAGTGGAAGGAGGTTCTAGGGAGGGTGGTGGCGGGGGTGCGGCACACAGAATCTATTGATTTATGGGGCAAGCAATGGGAAGAAGGGGGGATGGCAATGGAGGCCGCTGGAGGCACGGTGAATTCCCTGCTGCTCTGCTCCGTTCAGCAAAGTAGGGGCTGGAAATGTGCCTCAGCCCCAAGCTGCGGCCCGTGCATCCTTATACGGCAGGAGCGGCTTCTGGGCTTCCTGCTGGGCCTCTGTTAAGCTCCGGGATGCCTTTTCTTTCCCAAATTGCACTACCTGTCGGGAGCCAAAATAAGTGGAGTAGATAATAGGACATAATCAAACGATAGTCCTGTACTCTGTTCTGTGATAAAGAGAAAAAGCCTTTTATGGTTCCTTCTTTCTGCCATTCTCCATGCATTCTTTTAAAAATCGACTTTGGAAGCATCGAGAAAGGGGATAAGTGATCAATTACTTCAACTGTAGCTTTTTTAAAAAAATATTTTTTTTTATTGATTTCAGAGAAGGAAGGGAGAGGGACAGAGAGAGAAACATCAAGGATGAGAGAAAATCATTGATTGGCTGTCTCCTGCACGCCCCCTACTGGGGATCGAGTCCCCAACCCCAGCATGTGCCCTTGACCAGAATCCAATGCGGGACCCTTCAGTCCACAGGCCCACACTCTGTCCACTGAGCCAAACCAGCTAGGGCTCAACCCCAGCTTTTAAGGGGAGGAGGCCTCCCTGATGCAAGAGCAGGACATTTCAGTTTGGGGGCAAAGGCACCCAACCAAGAGAGAAGAGCAAAGGAAGGGGGGCTAAAGGAAGGGGAGTAACGGGCACCATTTCAAGAAGGGCTGCCAGCCCCAACCCAGAGGCCCCTCCCCAGGACCACGGTAGGGCCAGTGAGAATGCCTGGCTCTCATCTCCTCTACCACGGCCTGGCTCTCTCTGCCAGGGCTGGGCTCAGGTTGGGTGCTGAGTGGCTTCTGGTCCCAAGCTCAGGCTTTCCGTTTTAGCATCACCTCCAGCTGGCCATTCATGCGGAGCCTCTTGGCTCCTAGGCAGTGAATCGATGAAAAGAAATCAGGCCGTGTTATGGGTTACGATCATGTTTCTGAACTCTAGAACTGTGATATCCATTTCCTCTTTAATAAACCAGATGAAGCCATTTCTCTAGAGCAGGGGTGGGCAAACTTTTTGACTCAAGGGCCACAATGGGTTCTTAAACTGGACCGGAGGGCCGGAACAAAAGCATGGATGGAGTGTTTGTGTGAACTAATATAAATTCAAAGTAAACATCATTACATAAAAGGGTACGGTCTTTTTTTTTTTTTTTTTTTTAGTTTTATTCATTTCAAACAGGCCGGATCCAGCCTGCGGGCCGTAGTTTGCCCACGGCTGCTCTAGAGTCTGCATGGGCCGAGGATAGGCGCTTTCAGCATAATCTTCCTGTTGCCAACACTCAAAACTCAATCTTAGTCCTAGATTGCTCTCTTACTGCCAGTCAATTAGTATAGACTGTGCCATTTCAAATCAGCACCCCCGTGGTATCTCCTACTCCGTCCAGCGCCCCCTCTCTCTTAGAGAAGCGTGCACGTTTAAAGAAAATGTAAAATTTCGGAACAGCTGCTGGGTAACTTTATGTCTCTCTGAAATGGGACCTGGAATCCAAGAGGCTTTGAATGAATCGAAAAGATGGAGCTTTAGCGAACAAGGTGAAAAAACTCACTTAGCAATAAACAGTTCTCTCATTTGATAGGCATTCTGAAGCCTAGACTGTCATAGCAAGGATTGTTTTTCTTTCACTCGGAGCATTCTCACTCCACATTTCCATGTAACCAAGTTATTCTCATTTTCCTACAATCACTGGCATTTATTGGGCACTGTCTGTTCCATGCACTGTGCTTCCCATTTCAAAGTTGATCTCTTTTACTCCACAAAATAACTACTATTCAGTGTAAGTACTATTCTAAACCCCACTTATAGATGAGCAGACTGAGGCACAGAGAGGCTGATGATTTGCCCCAAGTCTCAGAGCTGGGAAGTGACAGGACCAGGATGGGAATCTGGAGTCCAGGCTCTCTTCACCATCACAGAGTCCTGCCTCCATCAGCACAGACCCTCAGCAGTAAAACCTTCCCTGCTCTCTACTGCACTCTGTGATCTTCCCTAAACTTACTTTGGAACTAAAGGATTCCTAATTTTGTTCAAAATATAGTTTCAGAAAGAGGAAGGGAGAGGGAGGGAGAGATAGAAACATCAATGATGAGAGAGAATCATTGATCGGCTGCCTCCTGCACGCCCCCTACTGGGGATCGAGCCTGAAACCTGGGCATGTGTCCTGACTGGACTCAAACATGACTTCCTGGTTCATAGGCCGATGCTCAACCACTGAGCCACACCAGCTGGACAGGATTCCTACTCTTTTCTGTGCCATGAGTCCATTTGGCCATATAAAAGAGAGCCCGTGGGGTCTGTAGACTAAGTGAGGAATCCCTGACTGACAATTAGTTGTGTATTGCTCTATAGCTGTGTTGCCCAATAGGGTAGCCGCTAGCCACACGTGGCTATTGGGCACTGGAGAGGTGGGTCGTCCAAATGGAGACTAAGTGTAATTGTAAAACATACCCTGGATGTCAAAGACTTCGTTTGGAAAAAGGATGTAAGATGGATCATCAGTATTTTAAAATATGGATTACAATTTGAAATGGTGATATCTTGGATATGCTGGATTAAATAAAATATATTATTATAGTTAAATTATTAATTACATTAGTATGTTATTAAAATTAACTTCCAAAGGTATTAGTTCTATACCAACACCTTCATCTTAACACATGAGCTCATCAGGACCCACGATGCTTGTCCTTGAGCCAGACATTGGCAGGTCTGTTGGCTCTTAAGCCTGTGTTCTTTCCAAGATACCACACTGCCCTTACTTCCTCTTGTATGCGAAGGTCCTATCGTGCTGCCTCTGTAAACTGTAAACGCTCAGAATATGTTGGATGTGATGCTGACTTACCACCAGTAAAAACCCAGGAAAAGCCGTCCAGGTCCTCACCCGGTGTGCCCTTTGCTTCCCTCATTTAGAGTTTTAAATGTTATAGACAGAGATGGAGAGTGAAATCCTAGGGCAAGTCCCGTGGTTTTTGCTGTCTGTCTGGTTCTCCTGGAATAGTGGTTCCCATTTAAGCATCTGACTGCGTCAAGAATCGCAGCGACGGGAGAGCAAAGCTGGGTTGCCCTTCTATGTTACAAGGAAGGAAGTTTTGTGTGCAGAGGAGGGTATGACCGATAATGATACGTGTGCTGCCTGAGACTGAGAATGAGAAACTGCCTGTGGATGAGAAGATAATTTCTCAGCCGAGTACACATTGATCGATCGCCTGGCCACAGGGCAGTGTGTGCTAGGAGCCTGGGAGGATATTCAGAGGATGTCAGTCTCCTTGAGGGATTTAGATTCAAATTGGGGAAGGGCTTGGAGGTGCAAACGGATGGATAAATCACAGGTGAAGGCAATGTATGAAGAGGGCCCGGAGCTGTTGTAAATGAAGGGAGGCCAGAGCCTGCAGCCTCCCCCGGGCACAGAGGCCAAGATGGTGGTTGTGGACTCTGGTTCTGGAACAATGGGGAACACATGGGTGGTTGGATCTGTCTTTTATGGATACTAGATCATTTAATCCATTCCTCCAGTCCTGGCTATGCTCTGTGTCTGGGAGAAACCTCAGGTGCTTGTATGAAAGTCTCTATTAGTGTTCTGTTAGTCTGTTATGTATTGACGAAGGTAGTAATAGCGAGGCCCATGACTTGCTATCCAAAATCCTTGGGGCCAGGCATGTTTCAGAATTTAGATGATCTCAACATTTGGAAGGCAGTAATAGAGTGCATATTCTGCAAAGCATCCCCTGGGGACCGGGAAAACAATCTCTATAAATTAAAAAAAAAAAATTAATATTTCTGCAGCAAAACACACGAAGTGGGTTAACTTAAAACCATAAGCAGCTTTTATATTCATGTGAATCAGGTTTAGCTGCCACATGAGCTTAGCTTCAGGTCAGGTTTGTCCACCAAATAAGTTATGACGAACTTCCAGTTTTCAGAGCACGTGGTTAAGGATACGGACACATTTTGAACAATATTGACATTTATTGTCTGCCAGCCACTGTTCTGAGCTCTTCCCTGTGTTTACTCCTTTTACCCCATGACAACCCTTTGAGGTGGGTCCTGTTATTACGTCTGTCTTGGGAAGAATAAAAGGAAGCACAGAGAAGTTAAGAAACTTGCTAAGGACAAAGCTGGGAAGGGGCAGAACAGGACGCGAGCCTGGGCGGTCTGGTCCAGGGGCCGCACACTGCGCCACAATGCTTTGGGTTTTTAGAGAAGGGACTTGGAAGCAGGTATACCTCTCAAGTGTATTCTAGGTAGATGAGCGTTACTCATACTGACAATGATATTTGAACTCCTTAAGTGCATGGTAATGAGCAAGCCCAGGAGCGATGGACACCAGTTAAGTGGACTCTTTGTTTTCAGAGAGACACAGAGTAATGGAATATGTGATTACGTTCCCTCAGCAGGGCTGGCCCCAACGCCCAGTGCAAACTCACATTAGCTCGTTTATTTCTTCCAGAGACACGAATCCCGAACATTGCAGCGGCGCCAGAATGGAGGCCCCACTGGTGAGTCTGGATGAAGAGTTTGAGGACCTCCGGCCCTGCTGCTCAGAGGGACCGGAGGAGAAGCCACGGTGTCTGTATGGCTCCTCGCCCCACCACCTGGAGGACCCCTCCCTCTCTGATCTGGAGAATTTCTCTTCTGAAATAATCAGCTTCAAGTCCATGGAGGACCTGGTGAATGAATTTGACGAGAAGCTCAACGTCTGCTTCCGGAACTACAATGCCAAGACCGAGAACCTGGCTCCCGTGAAGAACCAGTTCCAGATCCAAGAGGAGGAGGAGACGCTGCAGGACGAGGAGTAAGACGTCTTAGTTGCCCTCTCCTGCTTCATACAAGAGCCCTGTGGTCTGGGGCCCCTTGACACAGACCTAGATTCTGTCTGTGAGCTCCTGGCTTCTTACTACCTTTTCATGTCAGTGGGGCAGTGCTCGCCCTGGTAGTGGCTGACATTGTTCTGTCGTATCCCTTCATAGTCATCTGTAGGGCTTTCTTCAGTTGAAACATTAAAGAAGTGAAGGGATTTTAGGAAATAGAAAGTTTCCCCTAGATACAAAATAGAATTTCGGGAGCATGGTAAACTTCGGGGATGGGGGGATCTATCTTCAACTTTCTATCTTTCATTCATTCATTCATTCATTCTTTCTTTTAAAATATATCTTTATTGATTTCAGAGAGGAAGGGAGAGGGAAACAAATCTGTGTCTTACTATTATATCCCCTCTGTCTAATGTAGTGCTTGGTGTGTAGTAAATGATCAAATAATATTTTTGAGTGACATATTGACTATTGAATGGATTGAATGGCAATACTAGCTAGCCTTGTAGGTATACATACCGTGTTTCTAGCTAGGTCTACCCCATTTCTGTCTTTTCTTTTTCATGAACGCTCACCTGAAGGCCTGGGCACGGAGAACATTTCACTCTGGTGGCCAGCACTATCACAGTGGACTGTATATTGTTATTCCATTTCAAGTTTCAAACCAATTCTTTTTAGATACTGAGACTGTTATAATTTGACTCTTTTAAGTCAAAAAAAGGATGACTGTGGGGCTTTATTAAACAGAGTATTTTTTCACTCTAGTCCATTGCACCAGGCAATGAACTAGAAATATAAAGACTTATGAATTCTAATGTTCAGACTCTCACTAACTCGCTGTGTGACCTTGGGCTAGTCACTAACTCTAGTTGACTGCCTGGGTCCTCATCTTTGAAACCTCCAGAGCTCAGTCTTGATGAAGCGGGACTAAGGACTGGCAAAGAACCTAATTTCTCACCTCACCCAGGCTGCGCTCTGAAAATGACTTTTCACGATGTGTCCAATTCCTTTTGCTTCCAACAAATCATCTCTCCCCTACTTAACCCCCGTCTGCCTCATTAAGGATGGAGGCCCAGCCAGCAAGTCGCACATTAACAGAGGCCACTCAATGTCAATTACCCTCACATGGGATTAGTGTCTTATCCTGACTTTCCCGACTTGCCTGCCTCATTGACTGACTCAGCTAACAGACCAAAGGTTGAATCATTCCTTAGAGATAAAAGTATGATTTGGGGGTAGTGTCGAGGGAGGAATCTGGGAAGAGAGGAATTAGCATTGTGGTCAGTGTATCTGAATCTTTACAACTTAAAATAAAAATGAGCATTCAACTACATACTTTGTTTTTTAGACACCTATTCAGATATTTTAACTGCAAAAGATGATGAGGCAAAGGAAGAAGATAATTTAATAGCTGACTTGATTGTGGTTCTCCGGCATAGCTCTAGGGTTCCAATAAACTTGCTTAGGTTTAGTATTTAGAGGGATAGTTCATCTACAAATGAATTGAAAGTGTTTTGGGTGGGATAGAGCTAAACGATAAAACCTTAAAAAAATGAAATTTTTGGTCAAACTAACCTCCTGAAGAAAGCACCAACCAGAAAGCAAATGCAGTGGTTCCCTTTGAAGGTTTGGTTCCTTTCATTCCCATTGGGAACTGTTTGGCTAACGGAATTGGTGGAGCTATCAGCTTATCTCTGATTCACCAGGGCATGGGAGCATTAAACCAGAGTCAGACTTGAATTTATAGCTCCTGTTTTTAAATTTAGAAACTATTTCAGAATCTCTTCTTTGCTTACTAGTGTATGTGATCAACCTTCTCTTTATCATAAGAGATTGAACCTGGAGGCCCGAGGTTCTTAGGGGCCTACAAAATGGGAAGGGGCAGTCGTCGTCCCCCCGCCTCCTGGGGTCCCTCTCAGCCTTCTTACAAGTGCCCTGGAGACAGAGGGACCAGCCATGTGAGAACTGACAAATTTCTTGTTCTGCAGACAACCTGCATCAGCCACACTTAACGTTGAAGACAAGTACTGGTAAATACCAAATAATCAGATAGGAAAAGATGACAGATAACCTGATTTCTTAGGAAAGTTAATTCTCTTCTTTCTCCATAGAGAAGGCACAGATCGTATTAATTGTATTTAAGCATTATAAAGAATCCGAAAAGTTGTTCAAAGTCATTCATGTGCTAGTAATCAATTATTCTTAAGTATTAACTGCAAAAGTGTTTCCATGTTTGCTTGTTTTTTAAATTTATTTTACTATTTATCTGTTTGTTTTTCAATATCATTTTTTTAAAAATCCTCACCCGAGGGTATTTTCCATTGATTTTTAGAGAAAGTGGAAAAGAGAGGGAAAGACAGAGAGAAATATCGATGTGAGAGAAACATTGATTGGTTGCCTCCTGCACTCGCCCGGGAGCCTGCAACTGAGGTATGTGGCCTTGACCGGAATCGAACCCAGGATCCTTCAGTCTGCAGGCTGATGCTCTATCCACTGAGCAAAACTGGCTGGGCCAGTGTATCCATGTTAACATACATCTAAGTGTGGATATTGTTGGCTAGATGCAAATGAACCACTGGACAAGGGCTGTAGCCAGCCTAGAGGGGATTCAGGGAAATATTACCAAGTTGGAATTCTAATAAGACCTGTGCACTGTCTACTATATTGTCAGGAATAGGTATGTAGGGGTGTGTGTGTGGGGGCGGGGGGGCGCAGCGGGGAGGGTAGCTGAACTAATGTAGCCTTGATGGCTACGTTGCCAGTTGCAGACCTGAGTTTTTGTCTAGGTGTATTATCACAACCCATTCTGTTCGGTTTGTTCACCCTCTGCCATCACCCTTTCCCAAATGCCTAGCCCGCTGGTGAAAGACAGTTTAGTCCATTCTGCAGGCATCCAAGCCCAAGCTATAAAATATGCACCTAAAAGCCGTTTGTGTTATCATAGGAACTGAGAACAAATTGAACCCCCGGTGCCATGGCAGCATGACGGAAATTGAGGCAACCTGTCTGATCTTAGTTCCTTTTTTTTTAACTGGTGAAAAAGGAAGAGAGAGAGAGAGAGAGATTTGTTGTTCCACTTGTTCATGCCTTCACTGGTTGACTCCTGTATATGTCCTGACGGGGGATCGATCCCGAAACCTTGGCGCATGGACACAGTGCTCTAACCAACTGACCTGTCCGGCTAGGGTTAATGTTAGTCCTCTGATACAGGATAGAGTCGATGGCTTTCAGAGTCTCCTTTCCCCAAGATAAGAGTCAATAGCAGGATGCTTCCCAGGGAAGGGGAATTTTACAGTCCACCTCGGGGTACCTGTAACAGGGACTATGTTTGTGTCCAAGGACCCTGCTTACCATCCGTAGTTAGCCTCTCTGGGGAGAAAGCCCTTCCCCTTCGCTTCCGCACAGGGAACTTTGTGCTTTCCCTCCACTCCGGCTCCTCGTCCCTGCGGCTGCCTGCCTCCCAGCGTCCTGCCTCTGCCTTCCACGTAGCCTTTCCCGGGATGGAGATGTAGACAGAAAGCAGGGCAGGGCCCTGCTGCCCGTGCCCTTTGTCTTGTGTAGATTGATGAACGCTTACTGCCCAGGACAGTGTAGTTCTAGACTTTTCATGCACAGCCAGTTTCTGAACTGCTGTTCTAGGGGGTGATTAGGAATTTGGTGTAGTATTCTGATGCCTACGCCTATCAGAAGATTCATCAAGAATTGGAAGATGCCGAAACCGGTTTGGCTCAGTGGATAGAGCGCCGGCCTGCGGACTGAAAGGTCCCAGGTTCGATTTCGGTCAAGGGCATGTACCTTGGTTGCGGGCACATCCCCAGTAGGAGGTGTGCAGGAGGCAGCTGATCCATGTTTCCCTCTCATCGATGTTTCTAACTCTCTATCTCTCTCCCTTCCTCTCTGTAAAAAATCAATAAAATATATTTTAAAAAAAAAAGAATTGGAAGAGTGAAGTGGTTAGGAATGTAGGCTCTGTAGCTCTATTGCCTGGTTCAACCCCGCCTCTGTCGTTACTGGCTGTGCAGACTTAGACAGGGTAAATGAGCTTCCCCGCGTCCCAGTTTCTCCTCATTACTATCTGCCTTACAGAGTTGTTGTTTGGAGTGAACGAATGAGTCCACATGAAGAGTTTAGGATAGTGCCTGGCTGATGGTAAGTGCTTGCTGGCTAAGTGTCTGGCTGTTCACTGTGATTAACGGGCACCGAATAAATATAGGAAAGGTACGCCTTGTGCTTACAAAGAGATGAGAGCCCTTCTGTCTTAAGGCTGCTTTGAACCTCAAAGGATAAAAAGTACCTTGAACGGAAGAAGAAAACTCGAACAAAACCCGAAAGAGAATGAGAACAGCTGCCATCCTGAGGTTTCGGCAACGGTTTGGGAAGTTGTCATTAAAAAATCTAGAATCGGAAGGTAAAATCCAGAGTGTGGTAGTGAAGGCCCAGATGAGAAAAGTCACTGCTCCCTAAAAGATTTGCAGAGTTGTCTCTTTAAGGATGAGTACAGTTTCAAGGTCATCGGGAAGTGTGCAGTCTATCGACGTTCCCAGCTTCCTCCTGCCCAGGAGGGAGGTAGGAAGGGCTCCTGCCTATTTTGGGCTTTGCTGAATTTCATTTTCCAGGACTTGTTGCAGGGACAAGTCTGAAGGTCGGTGCCTGCGTGCCTTGCTGCTCCTTCTCCAGCAGAGACTGTGCTGCAGGGGTTTGATGCTCACAGTTTCGCCCACCGATCTTCCCAGTGGGTGTGGTGCTGGGAGTTGCGTCTTGCAGAGAGCAGATCATATTTGCCTCTTGGCTTTAGAACGCTAATGAGGCTCGGATTTAGAATTAGGCTGGATTAGTGCAGCTCTAATATAGTGCCCGATAGAGATTGGATCATCGCCCGTGTCTAAGAAGGAGACTGAAATCCTGCTGAAAAGATGTCTAACGATGAGCTCTTGCAAAGTGCTTTCCTGTAACTGTAGGCAAATAACGAATAAGCGGATAACCCCAGCCCTGCCGTGACCTTGTGTGTTTCACCGCCTGAGTTGTATGCATCGTGCACTAGGAAAATCTCTTGGCGCTCTGGCCAGCGTGGCTCCGTCGGTTAGAGTGTCATCCCGTACACCAAAAGGTTGAGGGTTTGATTTCTGGTCAGGGCACATACCTAGGATGTGGGTTTGATCCTGGTTGGGGCATGTGTGGGAGGCAACTGATTGATGTTTCCCTTTCACATTGATGTTTTCTTTTCTCCCTCCCTCTCTCTAAAAGCAATAAAAACATATCCTCAGCTGAAGATTAAAAAAAAGAAAATTTCTGCTTACATACCCACATATCATATATTATACCCGATTTTATAGCTTAAGAGCACTTTCTTCCCTCAATTTATGTATATGATTTTTATTTCAAGTATCTGTGCTGTTTCTCTCTCTCTCTCTCTCTCTCTCTCTCTCTCTCTGTGCGTGTGTATATATATATATATATATATATATATATATGTATATATATATATATAGGCATATATAAATTTGCACTTATTATTTCAGCATCTTAATCCACATTTTGTCATGTTTTGAATTTGATCCACATGTATACATATTTGCTTTTTTTCAAACTAGAGGCTCAGTGCACGAATTCCTTCACGGGTGGGGTTCCTCGGGGTGGCCTGTGGGGATTGGACCAAAACCTGCAGTCTAATGCCACCTGCAACTCCTGTCTACCACTCCCGCTCATCCTGGCCCCACTGTGTCTGCCGCAGGCTCATGCCCAATCAGTCCTGATCAGGAGAGGCTCACGCTGCCACAGCAGCACTCGCCAGCAGTGAGCCTTACGTCTGGTACCCTCCTGAGGGGAGTGGCCTGTGGGATTGGGCTGAAACTGGCTCTCTGTCATCCCCTGAGGGGTCCCAGATTGTGAGAGGGTGCAAGCCAGGCCAAGGGACCCCACTGGTGCACAATTGGTGCCGGGGAGGGACCACAGGAGGGCTCCAGGGTGTGTCTGGCCCATCTTGCTCAGTCCCAATCGGCCGGCCGAACCCCAGCAGCAAGCTAACCTACCGGTTTGAGCAAGTGGGTGTGGTGGTCAGTGCACGTCATAGTGCAGTGATGGCGAACCTTCTGAGCTCGGCGTGTCAGCGTTTTGAAAAACCCTAACTTAACTCTGGTGCCGTGTCACATATAGAAATTTTTTGATATTTGCAACCATAGTAAAACAAAGATTTATATTTTTGATACTTATTTTATATATTTAAATGCCATTTAACAAAGAAAAATCCATCAAAAAAATGAGTTCGTGTGTCACCTCTGACGCGCGTGTCATAGGTTCGCCATCACTGTCATAGTGACTGGTCGACCAGTTGACTGTCTGTCCTCTGGTGGTCAATGCACATCATAGCAAGCGGTTGAGCAGCTTTAGCCCATCATTAGCATATTATACTTTGATTGATTGAACAGTCTACCAGTCACCGGATGACCGGACACTTAGCATATTAGGCTTTTATTATATAGGATGGCTATTTCCTTATACTGCATTAATATTTCCTAGCCTTGGTTTCATGCGTATCATGGCATGCATATACTCCTGAAGGAAACTGTAGAGTCCTCATTGATTTATTTAAGATGAACTCAAGTGCTGCTGGCTTCCAGGGGTGGCATTATTTTATGAGATTTACACTAATCTCTGGGTATTGACTAAAGCATTTCTTTTTCTCTGGGTGAGAGTTTGTGACTTCAGGATTCTCCCCCAAAACAAATCTTTCTGAAATGAGCTAAGCAACAAGGATGGTAGAAGGCCCTTTCTCATAATGTACATTTCAGATTGTTGCAAAGAAATGTAATAGAGGGAGCCCATCTCCTGCCACTGGAGTCGTCGTGCAGACAGAGGTGTGCTCTTTGGTTCCTTTCATAGATTTGCTTTGGAGGGTTCACCTTGGAGACAGGGCACACCTAGACTCTACGCTGTGAGAGGGCAGGATTGCGCCACCCGTGGGCTCGCTAAACATTTTGGGTAGTAAGTAAGCACGGCAGCATTGGCACCACACGATGACCCTGTTCTTAATGGGATCCGGCCAGAGAATCTGCCCAGATCTCTATCTCTGTCTCTCTGTCTGTGGGTTTCTCTCTGTGTCTCTCTCTGTGTCTGTGTCTCTCTCACTCTCTCTGTCTTCTCTGCCCGTGGGAAAGAGGCATTTCTTAGTTTTATGAGACATGAACTATTTTGTCGAGGGCCAGAGGTTTTTTAATTGCCAGCGGTGATTGGATTGTAGACTCGATCATTTGTATCACAATGGCTCCCCTTCTCTGAAGCAAACACCATTCCCTTGGGAGCTCCTGGCCAACGTCCATTCTCTTGGCCTCTGATTCAGCTCTAAGCAGCTTGGCTCCTGCCTGCTGGAAGGCAGATGACCTCAGCCTGGCCCTCACAGAGCCTGCCTCCCCCGCCCAGCTCGTCCTTCCACCAGGTGGGCGGGGCCCCAGATGTGTGCTAATGAGAGCTTCTCTTTGTTTGCAGGGTTTGGGATGCTCTGACAGACAATTACATCCCTTCACTCTCAGAAGACTGGAGGGACCCAAACATCGAGGCTCTGAATGGCAACAGCTCTGACACCGAGGTACCTCTTTGCTCCCTCACCCACACCCCTACCTAATAGGGCTTGAGAAGATGTGGATTCCACTTCGAAAAGCATTCAGTCACGTACCAGCCTTCCCCATTCAGTGCTCAAAGTCATTGCTGGGAAGGTGGGAGTTGGGGAGGAAGTGAAAAATAAGATGGGGGGGTACATCCGGCGTCCACGAAGTGACTGGAATCATTACCTGTGGAAATGTAAATGCAGACACTTCTGTTGGTGATCTGTGTCTACACCAGGGAAACTTAGGTGGTCCGAAGTAAGAGGAGAGTGGCTGCCACGTGTTTCTTTTATGTTCAAGTGATAATGGTTAAAACGAACAGTCAGTCTCATCAAAACAGTGCAGAGAGCAAGTGCTGACGGGTCAGGGTCTGGCTAATGGCCAGAGTTGGGGCCCGGATATGAGCGAGGTGGCCACGCAATGGGGAGGCATTCTTTATGGAAGGCAACCAAAGAGGCATTTATGTGGCCTGAGTCACATTCTGTGGTTACTGATGCCAAAGAAGAAAGAAGCGTAAGGGCTCATTTATTCATTTAAGCATATATGAATAAATAAAGAGAATCCTTACTTTTTTAAAATATATTTTTTTGTTGATTTCAGAGAGGAAGGGAGAAGGAGAGAGAGAGATGGAAACATCAATGATGAGAGAGAATCATTGATCGGCTGCCTCCTGCACGCTCCCTACTGGGGATTGAGCCCAAAACCTGGGCACGTGCCCTGACTAGGAATCAAACTGTGACCTCCTGGTACATAGGTCGATGCTCAACTACTGGGCAACACCAGCTGGGTGAGAATACTTATTTTAAGTTGATTTGCAGAGACTGTGGGGAGTGACCTTTCAGAAGATCCAAACTGCTCCTCCTAGCTGATTCTGTATATAAAAAGGTACACCCATTTAATGGCTAAAAGCCAATTTATGCCTTGCTTGGCTTTCTAGTTTCAGCTGTAAAGGAAAATTTGACAATTTCTTATAGGAAGGGCTGTCAAATGTATGTGTGGGGGTGGATCTGACATTCCTAAATTGTCTAGAATTGGGTTCAGGTAAAAGAGATAGAGACAGGTTTCCCTTACTGGGCAATAATTCTGCAGATCGTTGCCCAAAATAGCATAGCCGATGATCAGGTGGCTGATTTTTTTTTTTTAAAAGATGGTTGCATATCCTTCTTAACTCTTCTAATAATTAGCAATCCAAAGTACTCGAAAACCTCAAGGCTTCATTGACTGGGGCAGGTAAGATGGTAACTTTGAGACTAAGAGATTTGCCAGGACACTGCTTGGCATTGATCTTGGAGGTTGTGTCTCGGGTCCTGCCTTGAACTCCCCCACCTGCTTATTTTCTCCTGCAATGCTTATATGTATATGGCGTTTAGTAGGTACCCAAAATGCAAAGGAGAAGAGAGGCAGTAACGAAACCAATCAGGTGACTGAAATTTAAGCAGGTCCATCTCGGTGCGAAAGGCAGATTTTGCTTTATCTCTTTTGCCACCTTCCCAGCTCATTTTGAGGAGTAAGCCTAAGGATGTATAAGGCAGCCTGCCCTTCCGAAGGACTTCCACTTATCCTCATTGGCAGACTTCCCTCAAGAGGGTTAATATTTCAGAGCAAATTGAATGACCCTGAGAAGGAGGATGTTGAGCTTGGTTCCTTGTAGAATTTCCTCCATCTAACCCCTGGGAAACGGACAAGGGAGCGAAAGAAAGTGGATGGAGCAAGGCTGTCTTATTTCATCCTCCTTAATGAGCTGCATTCATTACAGCCGAAGCGCTGCTAACTGACCTCCGCTGAAAGGACTTGCTAGCTGAACCCTGCTCCGTGTCCCTTCTGTAACACATGCGGACCGACGCCCGTGGCGTGCTGAAGGCACACTGCTGGCAGGCTTCTCTCTAGCAAGCGTGCATATCTCTTCTTCTCCTTACCTGCTTCATTGGCAACAATTGGCGGTGTTGTTCCCAAACCTGTTTGTGCTTGTAATTGTAACTCATTAATCGAATTAAATATTACAGGCAGTGTTGGCTTATGACGGCGGAGAGAGTCGTTTTGCTTTTTTAAAATCAAGGTAACACATGCACATAGTTTTTAAAAGTCAAGTAATACTTTTTAAAACAGTCTAAGGCAGGGGTGGGCAAACTTTTTGACTCGAGGGCCACAATGGGTTCTTAAACTGGACCGGAGGGCCGGAACAAAGGCATGGATAGTGTTTGTGTGAACTAATATAAATTCAAAGTAAACATCATTACATAAAAGGGTACGGTCTTTTTTTTTTTAGTTTTATTCATTTCAAACGCGTGGGCCGTAGTTTGCCCACGGCTGGTCTAAAACTTAAAACAAATGAAAAGAGCAGCCCGACCGGTCTTCCCCTACTCCACAGGGGCAACCACGTTTATTTCCTTCAGCTGATTCTTTTGGCAGATATCTTCACTTTTCTTACATTGCTATTTCTTTGATTATTTAGAATGCACAGTTTGGGCTGTTATCTATTACTTTGTATTATGAAAGATAATATTCAATGCCTTTTAAAAAAATATGTTTTTATTGATTTCAGAGAGAGGAAGGGAGAGGGAGAGAGAGATAGAAACATCAATGATGACAGAGACTCATGGGTCAGCTGCTTCCTGCACAACCCCTACTGGGGATGGAGCCCGCAACCCAGGCATGTGCCCTGACCGGGAATAGAGCCGTGACCTCCTGGCTCATGGGTTGATGCTCAATCACTGAGCCACACCAGCTGGGCAAGATTTAATTCTTCTACATCACTTCAAATGCTCCAACTTAGCCTGTCCCATTCTAGTATAGTTAAATCAATATTAAGTATACACACTTGTGTCCTCTGTAAAGCCCGTTTCTTGCTGAGTCATGTACAGTGTTCTAGAACAGCTGTCCTCAACCTGTGGGTCACGACCCCTTTGGCGGTCGAATGACCCTTTCACAGGGGTCACCTAAGACCATCCTGCATATCAGATATTTACATGACGATTCATAACAGTAGCAACATGACAGTTATGAAGTAGCAACGAAAATAATTTTATGGGTGGGTCACAACATGAGGAACTGTATTTAAAGGGCCAGAAGGTTGAGAACCACTGTTCTAGAAGAATATGTCCTCCCTTGTACAACATTTTGTTTAATCTGGAGTGAAGCATTACCTTGGTTTTTCACTTGCTTTGTTTCCTTATATATCTATCATTAGTTCAACCTCGAACTCAGAGGGGACCCTAAATCTCTCACAATCAGGCTTAAAAAAAAAAATCAGATACTATGAATTCATTTTCTTTTTCCCTAGAAAACCCCTAAACTAGAGCCCTCCATCTTCTGCTATAAACTAACCTGGTTGTGCCCAGCCACACAGCCATTGTCCTGGGGACCCCCTCACCTTTGTCCTGAGGATTCTTCTTGCCTCTCTCTCCATCCTCTGCCTGACATATTTTTATCTTTTTGTTTGGGTGGGAAAAAACCAGTATACTGCTGAGAAAGAGTACAGCAGAATACGGGTTGTGGAATATATGAGAATGTCTCCACTCTCCTGTCATCTGTTTGATGGAGAGTGTGACTGGATGGTTATTTTAAGTTGCACTTTTTTCTCTCAGAATCCTGAAGACGATGTTCTTTTGCCTTCCTGCTTTCGGTCGCTATGACAAGCCCCACATCTACTGAGATTCCCTGTCTTTACTTATTTTTTTCTGTTTAAGTATATTTTTTATTGGTGATCGTATTACGGATATCTCCCATCCCCTCCCACCCTTTATCCCCCTCCTTCCAGTCCCTACGGACTCCCTGTCTCTATGTGACTCTCTTTTGTTTCTCTTCAAAAGCTTTTAGGATATTTTATTTTCCGTTCTCACTTGAAATTTTACAGTAATGTGCCTTCTAGTGAGTTAAATAAATTTTTTTTATTTACTCATTCTGCACCCTCCTCCGTGGGCCCTTTTAACCTGGAAGCTCATGGCTTTATACTGTAGCCTGCTTTCTTGTGCTAGTTCTCTGAAGACTAATTATTTCTGTTTTCTGCTTCTATTGAGATGAATGTACAGTTTCCTCCTTCATTATGTTACTGTGATGAAGTACGTGAATTGGTTTTCAAATATTAAATCAACCTTGCGTTCTTGAGATAGACCCGATGTGATCATGATATATTATTATTTTATTTTATATCTTGGTTTTCATTGTTTTCCTCACAGCTTTACTGAGGGATAATAGGATATAATACATGGCACATATGAAAGTGTGCATTTTGATTAGTTTTGATGTCTGTATGTATCCGTGAAACCATCACTGCTATCAAGATATTGGGCATAGCCGTCCCTCCTCCTGTTCACTCGCCAATCTCCAGGCGACCTGCTTCTGTCACTATAGGTTAATTTGCATTTTCTAGAATGTTGTATAAATGGAAGCATGCACCCTGTACTTTTTTTTCCCCTTTTCGCCTGGCTTTTAAAACTCAGCATAATTATTTAGATATTTATCCATTTTATTGTATGTATTAACAATTCATTAAAAAAAATTTAAATCGTTGACAGTATTACAGATGTCCCCCATTTTCTCCCTTTTTGCCCCCGTTAACCAAACCCCATCTTACCCCAGGCCTTCCCCACACTATTGTCTATGTTTATGGGTTATGCATAGATGCATATATGTTCTTTGGTTGATGTCTTCCCATTCTCCCTCTCCTGTCCCCCGCCCAACATCTGTTATTCTGTTCCATTCATCCATACCTCTGGACATATTTTGTTCGTCAATTAACTTTGTTCATTAGATCCCACATATAAGTGAGATCATGTGATATTTGTCTTTCTCTGTGCTTATTTCACTTTAGCACAATAGTCTCCAGGTCCATCCACACTGTCTCAAAGAGTAAGAGCTCCTTTTCTTGCAGCCACATAGTATTCCATTGTGTAAATGTACCACAATGGAATGAGCTTTCTTATGCACTCATCTACTCATAGGTATTTGGGCAGTTCCCAGATTCTAGCTATTGTAAATAACACTG